TATTTCTAGCCTTTGTTGAAAATCTAAAGACCTCCTATTTTTCATCCTGTGTCCCCATAGGACAACATCAGTGGGGCTTGTGTCTACTGCCTCTTTAGGATAGGGCACACGCTCCCAGGAGTGTGTACAGTTGTTTTCACTCTACTTTTCCAATGTCTGCGGGGTGCCCTTCATTTCTGTAGCCACTCCCCCCACCCTACGTACCATTGGTGTTTGACTTATCTTTTGTTTCAGCACTAAAACTTAAAAACTTGATCCATTATGGGCTATCAATTGATGATTGCTTATTAAGTAAAGAAACAAAAGTTCCCTTTATATTCTTTTTTCTTCAAAGACTGACTCTGTGTTTGTATTATTTTGACATCTTTTATGATAAGTGAAGATGTTAGTCTTTTCATTGTATAAAACCAATAGCACTTTGTGTAAATTACAAATTACTTGACCAGAAGTGGTCTGAGTGAAAACAAGTGGATTTGCGCTTTAACCTTTTACCACATAATGGGACATTTTCAGTAATTAAGGAGTGTGTGGATAATTTTAACCTAATAAAGGAGAATAACTCCAAAAAAAAAAGCAAGTACTGTTTCATCTGAACAAATATAATTATATACATATGGTATGAGCTCTTATTTATTCATTCAAAAACTGCTTCTTGAGTTCCTACTATGTAGTTGGCATGTTTCCATCCCTCAGGAATATAGCTTCAAATGATATGAACCAAGTCTTTATACTTCTTAGAGGTTATCTTTTAGTAAGGAGACAAAGTAAACACAAAAATACTATTTTAATACTTTAATTCATAAGTGCTGTGATGAAATTGATAAAGAAATGAACTTTAATGAAGGAAAAAAAAGAAGGTATTTTACAGTGGCATCAGAGAAGTCCTTTTTGATAGGGTAATAGTTGAATGAATATCTGAATACCAAGTGAAATAAATGATCAGTAAAACTGTGTCATCACTGAGTCGTTTTGTTTGTTGTTATTACTGTTTCGAGACTACGTCTTGCTCTGTAACCTAGGCTGGCTTGAACTCACAATCTCTGCCTTAGTCCTCCTGAGTGCTGGGATTACAGGTGGATACCACTATGCCTGACTCAAGTCTTAAGTAATATAGCATAGCTCCTGAATATAAACAAATATGTAGCGTATTCTTGTTTTGAAGGGAATGCTCTTACATTGATTTGCTAGCTCATTTATTCTTTAACTTAAGGTGTGCAAAATACTTTGACAGAGTAGAAGCTTCTTAATGTGCCTATGTAGGCAAGATCTTGCTACTAGAATGAAAAAGATATCAGAAGTTGAGAATATTGTTTTTAATGATACATCAATGAAGAGAGAAAGAGAAGATGGAAAAATGGGGAAAAGTGAAAGAAGACTTGCTTTAGCCCGCTGCTTCTATCCATTTTAGTTCCAGGTCCAGCTGACCCTTCTGGTAACTTCTACCAAATTAGACATGTGGTGGTCCTTTATGGTTTTAAGTGGTAATTGAGTGCTAGGCACCATGCTAAATCTTTTATATGTATCACAAAAAGCATTTTATTATTTGCTTTTGGAGATTTTCTGACCTAGTACTGACTGGAAATATGAAGCAAAGAAATAGCTTTTATGGAGGATATTTTTGCGACCAGAGGTGGTTACCTTCTTTCTTTTGTTAATTCTCTCTTTCTCTTCCTTCTCCCCTGCCCCAACTTACTATGAATTTTGCAGCAGTGGGAATTGAATCTTAATTTTAAAATCGGAACACCTAAAACAGTGTTTTGTAAGAGGAGCTAAACATTATCCAGTATTATTTATTCAACTTTATGACTTAAATCAACCATTTTCTTTTATATTTAAATAGAATCTTAGACTTAAAAACTGTGGTGTTATGTTATCAAAATTCTCATCGTAGCCAAAGATAGTTATGGAATATATGGAAAGATGACAATTGATATTTCAAATGGAAGCAGACATACAGGAAATTCAAATATAAATACCAAAGAAGAGAATATTAAGTAAAATTGAGGTTTTTGTCCCTGGAACAGAATATCCCTGTGTTATCTTTGTGGGAGGAATCTCAGAGTTGGAATTAGCTTTAATTTAGCCAAATTTGGGTTTTAAAATTATATTTCTTAGTTGAAAAGAAATTTTGATTGGTCTTGTATTTTCTTGTCTGAACACACTATACATAGTCTTGGCTGGTCTGAAAATGCATGATTCAAGAAAAAAATGTTCTGAAAACATGTATGGAATTGTCACAATGAAATCCCCTCATATTCCAACCCCCTTCCCCCACCCCGTGGTCCTGGGGGTTGAAATGCTTCCTAGGCAGGCACTTAACCACTTGAGTCCTCCCTCTTATTATTAACGTATGCTAATTCAAAAATTAAATAAGCTTGAAAAATAGAAACTGTATTCTGATAGACTACTAAAATAAAAACCAATAGGAAATCTAGTCCTTACTCATGAGTTATGATATAGAATCATTCACTAAATTAGGTGCTGTGTGATTCAGGACATCTGGTAAATCTTTATTGTCTGATTTACTAAACATAATTTCAGAATTTCATCAGACCTTTAGAAGTATATTTTTAGATATCAGCTAAGATTTATTCCAAACCATTTTACACATACTAATATACTTAATCCTTACAACACCCTATAAAGTAGAATACCATTGTTATTGTTACTTTCAGATGAGAAAACTAAAGCATAATGACACAACTTGCCCAAGGTCACAAAGGCAGTCCTAGATAGGATTTATCTAGGATTTAAATCCAGAAGTCTATTCTCTACAATTGGTATTGGTATCATTTTAAAATATGGTATAATTTAATCTCTGAAAAATGGCCAATAAAAACTTTTATCTTAGATGCAAGAATTGAAGATATTGGCAGAAGGAGCTACTTTCAGTGATGGATTCAAGAGATTTTTTGGTTTGTTGAAATATACAGAAGTAAGATAGAGTTTGAGCAAATGGGAGCAAAATAAACTTAGCTAATTATATGAAAGAGTAATAACTAGAGAATAGTTTGACATGATGCCAAACCAATAACAAACTTTGTCTTTGCCTTCTTCCAAAAATGATTGGCCTGTAGTGAATACTTACTTTACACTAAAGTATGGAATTTATTTTTAATTCTATTTTAATGTTTTCAAATTATTTTGCAAATAAGAACCATTTTTTTCACCCAACCTACTGACATGTCTTACCAGCTGATTTTTTTCCCATTGGGTAACAGATGCCCCATTTCATTAAATTTATTTAATAAATAAATTTTATTAAATTCCTTGGCATAAATTATAATTCACTTTAATCAATTGATTGGTGGCTGTAAGCATTTGTGTGCATAGATCTGCAAGAATTATGTCAGACTGGTAAAGATTTCTCAATTGAATTCTACAGGTCCCTTGTTCTTTGAGTCTGCAGACATATTAATGTATAACTAACTTGTAAGAGTTTAACATAATACTGAAGTTCTCTATTCTGAAAAAGTTTCCACCAAATCCTTAATTTTCCTAATGTGAACAGCTTTGTTGAAAAATCTTTGTTGGTACCTATTTTCCTGTTACTGAATTATTTTGTTGTGGGCAGGGAATAAGTAAATATCAAGATAGAGTTACTATCCGCAATTTAATTTTTTTGTGTGAGTGTGTTATAGGAGATTGAATTAAGTCACATTCTAGTTCCATAATGACAATTTGATAAGGTTCCTTTCTAAGTGATTCAAGTGATTCAAGCTTGAGAGCTCTGTTTTCTATAAATTTAAATTTGCTGTTTATCTCTTGTGAAGATTATCCATTCTGGGTTTGTAGGTTTTCCTTGTTCTGGAGAAACTATGAAATCATCTTTTGTTTATGTTATCTTATCAGATAATTGTGTACCAAACTGACAAGTAGATGATAGTAGTTTTGATTTAGAATGCTAAGATACAAGTACAATTCATATTAGATGACTTTGAGCAGTAATAAGGCATGTCACATGCTAAGCACTGCACTGAACACTTCAGTTTCCCTGCTGCTTAAGGGTGTTGTGGGGTGGGCCCTAGAAGAAGAAAGCTGAACTGAAACTGCATTGGTTCTCAGTTGTTGTTATGTGGTCATTTATGTGGTAAACTGTGTAGCACACTATTAGAATATACTGTGTTTTGTGACACCAATGGTGGCAGATTTTCATTTGTGCTAAAAGATTATTGTCCCTTTTTGGAAGAGGATTCATTACTGTACTCTGAAATCAGGAGTATACTGGCATCCTGTTTCACGAACTGTATTTCATCAGGCAACACTAGTTCTGCAAGGTGTTCTTAGATGTTAAGTAGAAAAAAAAAGGTCTGTAGTCAAAAAATGGATAATATTTGGTTAAAATATGTTCAACAGTTGTGTCTACCATAGCTGTAGAGAGCTTTCAGTGTGCTTATGTGTTATGGAAGGGATTTTGTTTTATCAAAGGAAGTCACGGTTGGAAACACTTTGGGAGACGGTGGTATAGACCAGGGTTGCTCAACCTTAGCAGTCCTTTGTTGTAGGGGCTGTTGTAGGCATTGTGGGTTCATCAGTATCCCTTGGCTTTACCCAGTAGATTTTAGTAGCATCTCCTACCTTGACCTGTGACAGTCAGAAGTGACTCAGACATTATGACATGTCCCCTGAGGAGACAAGATCTAGTTGAGAACCACTTCTCTAGACTAATATTGCAACATTGCAGGAAGTTTTAGGGTTTGTTATCATTTTCTATCATAGGTTTCCCTTTTATTGAGGAAGAAACCATAGTTTGGAAAGCGGAACCCACAGGTAAAGATGAGTTAGTATAATCTTCCTGGATCTACTTTATATCTTGGCTTGGTTTTCTAATATTTACTATATGGAGAACTTACTGGAAAAAATAATTTCTGACTTTGCAGAATATAATACAGCAGGGGTAAAAATTTGTTTTTACAAAAAGAATAGTTCAGATATTTAAATTGATATGCTTATGGGGATATTGGACATTTCTAAAAATCACTTTTCCTTTTTTTTTGCAGGGCTATTTTCTTCTTTTTGAGTCTATGTTAGATTCTGTCCTTTATGCAAAGAACAAATACTTGGCAAAAGGAGGATCGGGTGAGTATAAAATTTTAGTTTTAATAATGTCATTTTAGTCTGGCAGAACCAAATGAACCTTTGAATTTCAAATGAACTGCATGGCTGAGAAAGTTCCCAATAGAGATGAAAGATGCTTCCATTAGAAGAAGCTTTAAAACACTCGTTTACTATATTGTCGAAAGTAGGACATTATAAAGATATGCAGGACTCTGAGTTAATGGGATTTTCAAGAACACTTTCTATTAAAGTTTTTTTTTTTTAATAACATAAGGACTAAGCTTTGGAAGCATTTTATATTATGGTCAAAAGTTTAACAGAAATTTTTTTTTTTGCATTTTTAATCCTTATGTCCTTTAGTTCCTTTTTCCCAATAGCACGTTTCATACTAAGTTGGAGATTATTCACCTTAGTGGTAAATTTTCATGACTTCCACTAAATAAACCTGGCTTCTCTGAAATTTATGAAAACATTTAAATAATGATTAGTTGATTTCTAGTAAGTTTTTAAAGCACCACACACCCAGTAAGTATACATATATATAGATCCCAATAAAATTGGAAGGACTTTTTTTTTCTCATGTCTCTGGAAAACATCCTATCATATTAACTGTATACTGAGAGTGAAATTGTGTTTTTGTAGGCATTTTGGTTGAATGTTTGTGGTTTTTAAGAGCAGGAATTATCTTTCATACATCTCTTCAGGGAAACCCACAGCTTCTGGAACATAGATGGAGAAGTATATGTGTTTATTGAATTGAATCATTAAAATTGAATTGGATAGAATCTGTATATCTTCACTCACCTATCCCTGCACCTACCTTTTCTCAAACATTCAGGATCAGCAAATGGTTTCCATGGTGAGAGCATAGATGATAAATGTTACCTGAAAGTATATGGAAAGGGGGAAACATTTTGAAGTAGTGACAGAGCACTTGACTGTAGTTATGACTCCTGCCCATCCATATTCCATTGGCAGTTATGGCACACTTAAAATCATAAGGCCATTATTTTTGTTTTTCTGAAAGTTTCCAGTTCTAATGTGCAACCAAGAGCAGCAAAGCCTCAAGCAAGACCATTTCTTAAATTTTTTAAAAAGTAGAAAAGTCTCAAACTAAATAAATGAAAGATTATCCAAAGAAAAACAAACAAACAAAAAAAAATCATAAGGCCAAAAAAACAGGACAGAAAAAAATTCTCCAGGACAATAGAGATCTTTTTTATAATAGCATTTAAATGTGCCAATTTTATAGTTATATTTTCTGCAGCCATTTCAAAATACGTTCCTGATCTCTGCATGTACCTGATTAGATTTTTTAGGTATATTTTATCCTGCAACAATTGGCTACATATTTCTATAATTTTAATGGCTGTTTTTGTGACTAAAAGAAATATTATCATTGGCTGATTGTCTACCAGCTATCGATTAAAATACTCCACCCTCGTTTATGTTGTTGGATGTAATCCTCACAACCAACCCTTCAGGATTTGGGGAACAATCATAAAGGTGTCCTGGATGACACTGTTAAATGACCAAGCCTTGCTTTGTGTGTTTTTTTGTTTGTTTGTTTTTTTTTTTAACGTAGATCTGCCTGACTCATACTCATGTTCTTGTCGCTAAATCTTGTTGTTTCTCTACTAAACTACATTTTGTTAAACTGACTCTTAACTGTGAAGTTCTAGGGAAGATTCAGATAATTGCTTCCATACTTCCCTGAATAGTATTCATTGATCTTACTGAACAACTGACAGCAGCCTAATACATTTAAATGACTTCTCAGTGAAATTCATTAAGAACCTATAGCAGTGTGAGCCATGGCAGAGCTATTTCCCATTATCAGAGGGATAGAAGGAAGACTAATAAGTCTAGTTCACTCCATGTTTTATATAGTTTATATTAATGTTAAGATAATCTGGAAGTATATTGAGAAAAGGTCAGTACTTAATTGCTTCATCAGTACTCTTGAATGTTACTTGTTGACAAAAATAAAAGTCAGAAATGAGTAACATAAAATGGTTTAGCCTTTTTATGTATTTAAGTATGCTTTAGTGAATATTACCAGTTGTTTTGATGCTTATTCCTTTATACTTTACTGAAGGAAAGATTTACTAAGCATTCAGTAGTGAAGATTTTAGAAAGAATGATTATCAGAGAGGGAGAATACCGAGCTCCATATAAATATGATGAGACCATGATATATTTTTACATGAATATAGGTTCATTTTCTCCATAGATAGATAGACAGACATTAATATACTGATATAGATATCTATTAATATGTATAGCGAGAGAGAGCAAGAATAAAGGCTTTATAAGACATAAACATCCAGTAAGTTCAGTTTTTGGCAAAATACAGCTTAAGGTCTTGGATTGGGGGAAAAATGAATACTAGTTTATAAGATAAAGTATATTTAGCACATGGAAGCATAAAGTATGTGTATCTGATCCTCCCTACTGTCACCAAGCCATTCCACAGCACTTTAAAGGAGGTGCTCATTTACTACTGCTACTACTAATAAAAAGTGAAGGAAAAGTAGGCACAGTAAAGACTGCTTCTACTATTTCTAACTAAAATTTCCTAAGTACTTGTAAGTCAGAAATCATAGTGTTTTATATCCAACCAAGCAAGAGGTGAGGAGGAAAATCCTTGATTGTGACCAGTGGATATTTTTATAACTAGAATTAAGAAGGAAACTAGTGTATATTTTAGGATAACAACATATGATCTAATTGTTTTTTGTACCCTAAGAATGTCAAACATTATAGTCTCACAAAAATTGGAAAGGGAGTGCAGTATCTTTATTTAATATTTTAAACTGGCAGATCAAATAGTAGAATTAAAAGTAAATTTAGTACTTACAAAGTTAATACTAAAGTACTGTTTACCAAAATTGAGTGGTGAGGTTTGTGATGATAGATCCTCTGTATTTCTTGACTATTGTGGTTTTTAAATAAACTGCATATATTTCTGAAAGCGTGCACACCAAAAAAGGTGAGTTTTGGTACATATAAAAAATGACATGGCAGCTTCATGTCTTTCAGGTCAAATGAATTATTCCTAATTTTTCTGTAAAATTCATTAAAACTGTGTACTAACTCTACACCCACCTATATGTTGGTTGTTAGTATAGTAATTGGGTGTTAAAAAGAGAGAAGGGAGAAGGGAAAAGCAAGAAAATACACTGATTTCATAATTACCCATGGTAAGAAATTAGCAAATAGAGAACTGAAGGTGTTAAATAAGATACTGAAGTAATTATAAAGTAAGTTAGGTATTATAAAGTAAGCCTCTTCTAGAGCTTAATATCTTATATAGTAAGCTACTAGATAAAAAATATGCACCTTCTTACATATAAGAAAGGGCTAGGGTTGTAGCTCAGTGGTAGAGTCTTGCATAGCATGCAAAAAACCTTTGGGTTCAATTCCTTAGTACTGCCTAAATAAATAAATAGAGCAAAGAAACAAACAGGGATAAAGCATACAGCTATGTTGGACAACCTTTTAAAAAATGGAAAATAAAGAAATAACAGAAAAAGGTAGTTACGAACAAAACATGTATTTCTTATATGAATAAATGTAAATGGTCTAAAGAATAATAAAATTGGAATAATTCAGAAAAGTTAAAGGGATGGATAGAGATATTCAGGCAGATCCAAACAAAATGAAAATAACAATCATCACATTGATACCAGACAAAAGTGAGTTGGGGCCAAGATATATAATCATATAGATGAGACTTAGTGCTAAAGAGAAAAATCATACAACTACTTTTGTAGATACTGATTGTGAGTTTCTATAACTCCAGCTACACACAAGGCACTGGTAGGAAGATTTTAGTCCGAGGTCAGCTGGAACAAAAACTTGAGACCCTGTCCAAAAAATAACTAAAGGATAACTAAGGGACTGGGAATGTGGCTCAAGTGGTAGAGTACCTTCCTAGAAAGCATGAAGCCCTGAATTCAAACCTCAGTTCTGTGATAGGTAGGTAGGTAGATTGATAGATTGGATGGATGGATGGATGGGTGGGTGGGGAGAGAAGAAGGAAATTGAATTAAAAAGGATTGGGTCATGGCTCAAGTGGAACAAGTAATAGAGGGGGTTGGATTGATTAAAGTACAATATATTTACAGGTAAAATACCAAGGCAAAACCCCACTGAACAGTGAACAGACACTTAAACAACAAAGGACAGGAATGTAAAACAGCTCATGTTAAGGGGAGGGCACTAGTGGGAGGAAGAGGGTAAAGAAGGTAAAGGAGGGTGTAAATGATTGATATATTTTCTACACATGTATGAATATGGAACATTGAAACCTGAAGTCATTGGAAGAAGGGGGAGGGGGCAGAGGGAGAGGGAGAATAATAGAAGTTATGAACCAGACCTGGTACATTGTATGTATATATAGAAATGTCATAACTACACCCCCTGTACAACTATTATATGGTAATAAAAACATCAAAAAGTAGCTATATGATAAAGAATAGTTCATCTGATTTTGGCTCATATTTAATGGAGATTCAAAGCATTTCTTTTAGAGTCAAAATAAGATTTAAACTGCTAGTTAACAGTATTTTTTAACATTTTATCAGAGATGCTAATTTTTATTTGTAAGTTCTGTGATTCAATTGCAGAAATTTTAAGGGAATCAACTGAAAAATGACAGCAAATAATCAAAGATTTTAATACATTATAGAACTGTCAAAATAATTAAAAATAAATAGAACTTTTGTACAACAGCTTCACTACTGAAAGGCTGTGAAGATGATTTAAATAATTAGAAGAAAACACTAAGTTCTTGAACAAAAATGAATGCCATAAAGATGTCAGGTCTCCCAAAATTAATTTAAAATACAATGAAATCCAAGTATATCAATAATCATTGAAAATACATAAGTACTTGAGAAATAATAGTGCTTTTCCTAATTTTTAAAAGAGACTGAATTTTTTATAGGTTGAAGTTTCTAAAATTTTATGCACAATTTTTTTTTTATTTTGAGTAAGCTGCTTACAAAGTTTATATG